TTTCAAGCTCTAATGTCCTGTCACCAGGTGGTTAGATCTGTTACTAGGTATGTGAGCTCAAGAGACTACCCACTCCTCCTGCATGGATTCAGCTCAGGCCCAGGTAGATAGCCACCAAGCGTGTGGTGTAGGCTCTCACTTATAGTCCTAGAGAGGCATGGGTGATTGGCATAGGCACAGGCATCTGGCTGCAGCAGGGGAACACACTCTGAGCAAGGCAGGGGGCTGACAGCCACCCTTGAGTGTTAGGGAAGAAGGCATGTCCCTGTTCCTTAGAGCACGTAGGTGGGTAGGTTTTGCAACTGGACAATGAGCACCTAATGCTGTTGGCTGTAAGGACTGGGGGGCACCTCTTATTCATGGGCCCCTGTCACAGGTGGCTAGGTGGCATGGGTGGAGCCACTAGTCCTGAGGCCCCTGATGTGGGTAAGCGAAGACCCTGCTTAATGGGCAGAGCAGTGTCAAATGTCAAGAACCTGCCACTTCACAGCTGAAATAGTTGAAGTTAGAGTTCTGGTATATATCCTGTTGTACTGCGGTAATGAGGGCCTACACTGTTGTGATGGGCCCACACAAGCCTATGCATTGGGAAAGGCACTCAGAGTCCATGGATCCCTTATGCCTGTGCCTAGGCAAAGGAGCTGTGCCTACTCTGGGTTCCTGGCTTAAGGGAGCTGGAAGTTTATGTTTTCCTGTTTGTTGATTTTTTCACTCTCCAAGGCAAGGAGAATGGCTCCAGGAGTGTTACAGATCCTACTTCTGGCCCAGGGGATTTGGCAATTGCTGAAGCTGGTCCAGGACCCAGTGCAGAGCAGGGAGCGGGGAGGTAAGTGGGAGAGAGTTTTTTCCCTAGGGGGCGTGTTTTTGATCCACGCGGTAAGCCCTACACAAGTACTTATCTTTTGCCGGATCCAGGGCTACTTCTCACTGGTTCTGGGTGGCCGTGTAGACTCTCTGGCACTGGCTCTCTCCCGGTGCAGAAAACACGCCTCCTGAGCACCACTGCTTGCCTACCTCACCGCTCACTCCCAAGCTGGTCAGGCCTGAAGGGCCCAGGCTCTCGCCGGGTCAGGTCTGGCAAATTCTCGCTGCTTCAGAACTGTCTCTCCCGCCCCCTGCCACTTGGTCTGGTTCCTCAACTCTGCCTTTGATGTTCAGGGCTCCCAGATTGCCATATATAATTGAATCACTAGTTTATTCAGGTCTTTGTTGTAAGAGTGTCCATCGGAAGCATCTGACTACTCTGCCATCTTGGCCCCGCCTCCTTATTTCAAAAATTTTATTAAACACGGAGGACATTATAATCTTTTCAAGTCTTTGGGACTCTAAAGGTCTTAATTCTTCACAGTTTCCCTCTGACTAATCCTTACTCACTTTACAAGCAGAAGTGAGACAATGGGATTCATTCTATTCCATTATTGTGTATGTACTGTGTATCACTTAGAAACAGGTGGTCTTATGATATAAGAAGGCCTATTGAAGGTTCATGCACAGTGACCCTTTGGACAGTGGGGATTCTTCTGGCAGGATGAAATAATATGTTCCATGTCAGCAATCCCCAATATATGGGGATGTTTCCTACAGCTAAAATACAATACTTAGAGAAAAAAGGAGGTGGAGGGTGACTTGTCTTTTTAAGATTTCAATTAATAAACCACTACCAAAGGTTTGCTTTTTGGGCTCTAAACTTTGGGCTCTGGTGATCAAGTGGCCTATCTAACCAAGGCAGAAATGGTTCTATCAGTGAACACAATAATGGCTCCACTGAATTGGATACAAACACTGCCATATAGCCATATTTGGTTCCTCGTGTATTAGGAAAAGAGACAAAAGGGGTATAATTGATCCTACTGGGGGAAAATAAAGCTGCTATAACACAGTAGGAGCCCTGGGTGGCGCAGTGGTTAAGTGTTTGAATGCTATCCAAAAGGTTGGCAGTTCGAATCCACCAGCTGCTCCTTAGAAACCCTATGGGGCAGTTCTACTCTGTCCTATAGGGTCGCTATGAGTCAGAATCGACTCGACAGCAATAGGGTTGTTTTTTTTTTTTTTGGTCTAATACAACCAGAAGGGACCAAAGTTTATTTGAGTGGATCCTGAGCTACATACTTTTATTACAATGCCCAAGGATAAAGATCAATGGAAGATAATTACAATCACATAAGGGCAGGATTACCAAAGGCTCAGATACTTCAGGAACGAAGGTGATTCACCCTCCTGAGCAAAGAATCCTGATTAGCTGAGGTGCTGTTCAACAGCAAGGGAACACATGGAATGTGTAGTGGAGAGGTAAGGTTAATATCAGCCTTAGTTTTAGTTACAGAAACAACTCTTGCATTTCTTGTTTTCTGCTAAAGTGTAATAATGATCATTTTTCCCCTTTCTGAGTAGAAGCTAAGAAAAACTGATACCACCTAGAGATCCCGGACTCCAAGAACAGTAGTTCTATGGCATTACCTCTGGACCCATAGCTAGCTAGGATTTTGGATTGTGTCCTTTTGGGGAGGAGGTGAATGTACTGGTGGTTACATGTAGAGTAGTTGGATTATGTTAGCAGGGGCATCTTTGAATCTACAGGAAGACAGATGTGTGCACGGCATACCCATACATGAAGTAGACCACAGGATTGAATCTCAGAAAAGTTAAATAGCTTTCCCGAGTTATTTATCACATGGCCAGTAAGTGATAGAGCTAGATAAAAACCAGCTGTAAACTGTTAACAATAAGGGAAACTGGGTGTGGGGCACACAGGTACTATCTTCACAACTTTTCTGCAAATCTAAAACTATTCTAAAATTTGAAAGTTTATTAAAAGAAAAAAACACTAAATTTTTAGACTCTTCAGGCTACACTTTTGACCACACTTCTAAACCCCTAGCCCAAATGATGCTCTGAAGAGGCAGCTAACAAAGTCCTGTTCCCAAGGTCCCCAGAATGGTTCTCATTCCCATCCATGACAAGAAGTGATTATCCAGATTTCGCTTTGATTATCTGCCTTTCTGTAGTATATATCCAATAAATTTTCTTTTTTGTCATAATTAGACAGAATCTCTATTACTTGCAACCTAGCAATAATAATAACAATAACAGCTAACACCTAGAATACTCATTGTGTGCCAGACACTCTTCTAAGTATATGTATTAACTTATTTGATCTTCACCACAATCCTCTTAGGGTATTATTATCATCATCCCTACTTCACAGGTGAAGAAACTGAGGCACAAAGTTAAGTAACTTGCCTGAGTTCATGCATCTAGTAAGTGGCAAACCCAGGAAGTCTGGCTCCAGAATCTGATTCTCTTATCCAGCTCGCTGCACTGCCCTCTCAGAAGAACTTTAATGATATGCAGGCATGGACACTGTTTACAGCTTCCAGAACTGAGCTCTCTGGACTAGAAGCCCATAGGTACCTTATGTTGTCAAAACAGTGTGCTGCTCTTTGTGAGCTTTTCCAGGAGTGTGTAACTCTCTAACCTCTGAGTGTATTGACCATCTTCAGACTAATTGGGAACAGGTGTGTGAGATAGCACACAAAGATACATCCTTCAGCATTCTACACGCTGCACATGGGTTTGTAAACCAATTCCTCAGTCAGACACAGTGTCCTTCCAATACACCCAGGATGAGGTTACATTTCCCTCTTTTCAGGTATCACAGTCTGGTTTTGAAGGCACCTCAAGAAACCCAAATTGCTTCATCTTTATTTCCTGTGAGGTTCGGAAAGCACTCCTGCAGATTAGCCTCCCTCCCCACCTATCTTACCCTGGCATAACTGCCTTCTACTAGCACTTCTGCCTGGAAAGGGCATGGCTAAGGGGCTCTGATGCCACAGATTGGACTCCAGCTAATGTTGTTATTTTGTTTGGTGCCGTCCAGTCAGTTCTGACTCACAGCGACCCCATGTACAACAGAACGGAACGTTGCCTGGTCCTGCGCCATCCTCACAATTGTTGCCATGTTTGAGCCTATTGTTGAGCCACTGTGTCAGTCCATCTCATTGAGGGTCTTCCTCTTCTTCGTTGACCCTCTACCAAGCATGATGTCCTTCTCCAGGGATTGGTCCCTCCTAATAGCATGTCCAAAGTAAGCTAGACAAAGTTTCGCCATCCTTGCTTCTAAGGTGCATTCTAGCTGTACTTCCTCCAAGACAGATTTGTTCATCCCTCTGGCAGTCCATGGTATATTCGGTATTCTTCGCCAACACTGTAATTCAATTTTTCTTGATTCATACTTCGTACATGCCACATTCTGATTACTAATGGAGATTTTCAGCTGTTACTTTTCATTTTGAGTCATGTCACATCAGGAAATGAAGGTCCCCAAAATTTTACTCCATCCACATCATTAAGGTAGACTCTGCTTTGAGGAGGCAGCTCTTCCCCAGTTGTATTTTGAGGGTCTTCCAACCTGAGGGGCTCATCTTCCTGCACTATATTGGACAATGTTCTGTTGTTACCCGTAAGGTTCACTGGCTGATTTTTTTTTCTTCAAAAGTAGATCTCCAGGTCCTTCTTCCTATTCTGTCTTAGTCTGGAAGCTCAGCTGAAACCTGTCCACCATGGGTAACTGCTGGTATTTGAAATACCAGTGGCATAGCTTCCAGTATCACAGCAACACACAAGCCACCACAGTACAGCAAACTGACAGACAAGTGGTGGCTCCAGTTAATAAGAGCCAAAAATTACAGAAAACAATTCCACACAGAGGTGGTTTATCATTTTATATTTTTTAAAAACCTTAAGAAAAATCCTCTGTATATGTGCTGACATAAGAAAGTTTTCATGTATTCAAAATAATAAAATGTAATGGTAAACATATTGACAAATAGCAATTTGAGTTATAATGGTAAATCTGTAGTTAATCTAGTTTGTACATTTAATATTTAAATACACTGTTCTAGGGGTTATTTAGTAAAACTAGGAAATAAAGAGTAAATTGTGATTATCATTCGTTCACCATTCAGATTTTTATCTATGAGCCTGTTGAAAGACATCAGTACTGGATAAGTTCACTTTGTTTCTTCGAAACAGTTTTTGGCATAGCTGCCACGGGTGAATGTTATGCAGTTGAAACATAAATACCATAAAAATTAATCCCCCTAGCACTATGGCTGCTGCAATGGCAATAAGAGTATGTCCTGGAAATGGCAAAGGTGCTTCGTCAACATAAATCTGCAACAGAAAAAGTAGTCTTTAAGCTTTTTGAATCTAATCATTCAAAACATTTAACTTTATATGATTCCCACAATGGTGGCGACACTATTAATCCTTAGCAAAATTCTGCCCAGACTTATACAGCTATTTAGCAACCACAAAAGCTTAGAAATAGTCTCTTGACAATCTGACAAGTAACAATTTGCACACAGTAAATAGAGAATAAGAATTCCATTTGTTATCCCATGCCTTTAATTGGCAAGTAGAACCCTTCTGTGGCAGGAAGACATTCTGTCTTCAGTTACAGGGGACTGGGCAGAGTTCTGGGGGAAAGTGGAGGAGGCAGTGCCTAACTGCCCAGGGCAGTCCAGGGAATGGGCTTTCTGAGCTGGATCTTGAAGAATAAGTGGGTTCACAGGACAGAAGGAGAAAAAGGGACATCCCAGGTAGGGGAAATAGCATGTGCTCTTTCAAGTTGTCATCTCTTTTGAATATCCTCTATATAAGACATAGGAAATTTTCTGTGTATTCAAAACGTTTCCTCTGCCTGCCTGGATAATTAATAAAAGTAAGTTCCTAGAGGAGAGATAAACTTATTGACTTAGAGACTTTTTTCCCCCTCTCTGGGACTTGAACCAATCATGGGTGCCATTGTATGGTCAATGTAGAAGTGGGGGCATAGGGAGAGTAAGATGGCTCAAACCCAACGGCTTCCGTTTTCTCTGTGAAGTAGGTAGCAAGACCATCTTTTGAGGTAGAAGAAAATGTGGAAAAAATGCTGACAAGAAAAAGGATTGACAAGCTGCTTTGAGGGTATAGCTCAAGTTAAAGATACTACCATGCTCCTAGTAGCCCATGGAGGTACTTCTTTTCTCAGAAATAATGCTAACAATGCTAGATGCTATCAATTCTTTTACAATCCCCCTTATATTCATTTCCATTTTTATTTATATAAATGCATAGTATGAAAATGTTATCCTAGTTTTCAAAAGTTAACCACTGACATTGTGTGCTGGATCCCATCTGCTACAGCTTGTTATGGATTGAATTGTGTTCCCTCAAAATATGTGTTGGAATCCTAACCCCTATACCTATGGATGTCATCCCATTTAGGAACAGGGCTTTCTTTGTTATGTTAATGAGACCATCTCAGTGGAGGGTGTGTTTTAGATCTCATCACTTCTGAGATATAAAAAGAGCAGATAAGGCACAGAAGCAAGCAAGCCAATACAGCGGAAAGACAGATGCTACTGGAAGATGATGGGGCAGATGTATCTACAAGCCCAGGAACTCCAAGGATTGCTGGCCACTAGAAGCTGAAATAGATAAGAAAGAACCTCTTCCTAGAGCCACATGTTGAATTTGAACTTCTAGACTCCTGAACTGTGAGAAAATAAATTTCTATCCTCTAAAGCCTCCACTTGTGGTATTTCTGTTACAGTAGTTCTAGCAACTAAGACACAGCTCTAGGAAGGACCTTTTACTACTCATTCGCCTCCATCTCTAAAATCCTACCTTTAAATCAATTTCTTTTTCTGTTTTTAAATTAGTCAAATTTCCTTATGTTGAAACAAAAACCAAAGCTTTTAAATAACTATCCGCATTTTTGTTTTGTTTTGTTTGGGTCTTCTCTTTTTATTGTGCTTTAGGTGAACGTTTACAGCTCAAGTTAATTTCTCATTCAAAAATTTATACACGTATTGTTTTGTGACATTGGTTGCAAGTCTCACAATGTGACAGCACACTGTCTTTCCACCCCTGGGTTCCCTGTGTCCATTCTATCCACATTTTTGCCCATCACTGTGAAGAGGTATTTGATACTTCATCCCCTTACTATGTCACCACTTCCTCCATCGGGCTAAATCTTGAATTTTTATCCTTAGATCACATAAGCTCAAATAATTTATTAATTTGTGAAGTGTCTTGTTCACATAGTTTTAGTTATCGGTATATTGACATCTCCCAGTACTACTCTATCAATTCAGAATTACCATTCAACTCCTTAGTTTCATATTTTTGGCTTTTTTAAAATTTTCTGCAAGACTTTTTTTTTTTTTATCAATGTGTCATAAGTATTTGACAGTGGATGTGTCACTAACCAATTTAATCAAATCCTCACTCCTTCCCACCCCCCACAAACAGCAGATGTCATATGAATGAGGAAAACAAGTGTTGTTTTCATGGGTTATACGGGGAGATCGGTTTTGGAACTTCAAAGCTTTTGGAGTATTTAAGACTCAATGCAAATAAGCAAAGGGACGATAACACTGGAAAGGAAAATGTTACAGATACATGAGAGGAACAAAATGTAGTGTGTGTGTATATCTATATCTATAAAACCAGAAAACCAAACCTGTTGCCATCAAGTCAATTCCGACTCATAGTGACCCTGTAGGACAGAGTAGAACTGCCCCATAGGATTTCCAAGGAGTGGCTGGTGGATTTGAACTGCTGACCTTTTGGTTAGCAGTCAAACTCTTAACAACTACACCACCAGAGTTTCCATACACACATACACACACAGTGGAATACTACTCTGCCATAAAGAAAAATGAAGTCCTGATACATGCCACAACATGGATGAACCTTGAAAACACTATGCTGGGTGAAATAAGTCAATCACAAAGGGACAAATATTGTATCATCTCACTAATATGAAATACCTAGAATAGACAAATGGATAGAGGTCAGAATTTAATGGTAGTTGCCAGGTATGGGAGGGATGGGGAAAAGGAGGGAATCATTGTTTAGCTAGCATTGAGTTTTTGTTCATAGGGATGGGAACTTTGGCAACGGATATTGGTGATGGTTGCACAACATGATTGATGTAACTGGTCTAACTGAATTGTACACGTAAAAAATGCTGAAATGGCAAGTGTTGTGTTACCAACATTTTTGCAATTAAAAAAAAAGCAAAAGAAGTCAGAAAATCAAACTGAATATAGACGGCAGAGAAGGAACAAAAACAAATACAGTTGCTTATTAATTTTTTTTCCAGTATCAACTGGTCCTGCTACCTGTCAGGCAATAGTTTTACCATTACTGACAATCTCACCACCATTCTCCAGGATCCCCTGTCTCCTCCATGCCTTGTCCATCATACAAATCCTATCCATTTCTTTTTCTCTTCAGCGTCTCTTGGATTGATGCTTGTCATCTAATTTCCCCATCCATCACCCAATTTCATACATTGTACATTCACTGTACCTGAAATTCTTCAACTAAGTTACAAAAAGTGACCCCCGGAACAACAGAAACTTTGAAGTGAAAGAGTTCAGAGCCCTGTGGAAAAGACGCACCCAGTCATTAACAGCGTCAATATATATGTTCCTTTAAGTAAAAATATACACTGGACCAACTTCTCCTACAGATGTTGCATAGAAAGATTACCATCCCCTTCCTAAGGCCCTTGGGCATACACTTCATGCATCAAAATAAAAATGAATGGAGAAGAGTTTAAAACAGATTCAGTATCTGATTCTTCTTTTTAGAATGAAGAGACAGAAATATAAATCCTAAGTGGGCCTTAGTGAGTTCTTTGGGTTAATCCTCATATATCTGTTCTGATATGTCCCGTCATTTTTGTTGACTTTCACAGCAATTATCTAAGTATTAAATCAACCTTATGTGTTCTATGGACAGCTGGAAGAGGAAGACACGTGTCTGTGTATATGCAGGTCAAAAATACTGAGCCCATTTCTTCCTGACTTTAGGAAACACCCTTTCTGCTCCACTCCGCTAGATAATCTATTAGTCTTGCTTATTGGCTCAAGGAATCATAATTTAAGGTTAAATTCAGCTTTCAGATACCCTTAGAAATAGTAACATTAAGGGAAAGAGAGGAAAAATAAACACTCTCCATACACTTTAAAGATACTATTCCCATCACTCATTGATACTTATACTTTAAAAATAAAGTCAATCTTGTTGTTGTCGTTAGGTGCCATTGAGTTGATTTAGATTGATAATAACCCCATGCCCATAGGGTTTTCTAGGCTGTAATCTTTATGGGAGCAGATTGCCAGGTCTTTCTCCCACGGAGCAGCGAGGTGAGTTTGAACCACCACCCTCTGGGTTAGCAGCCAAGCATTTAACTGTTGCACTTAGTTTAGACATTTAAGTTTTACTTCAGCTCAAAACAGAAAAAACAAGAACCCTGTGAACTTACCATTATACTTAAGTTGAGATCTATAGGATTATACACTGGAACTTGAAGACGTGATTTTAAGTGAGATTCTAGTTTTCTTATAGTCGGTGGTGTAGAATATTCTAAAAATACATGAAATATATTTTAGGCACACTCAAGCTATTTTCTCATTATGCATAAAACTTCTGCTACATACATTATTGTACAACGAAAGATTCGACTCCATAACATGATTAACTTATCCCACAATTTAAGTTCTGTTTGATTTTATGGAAGGTATCGTTAGGGTAAATTAGGACCAGCATTGCACATTGCCTGCAGAGGAATCCTCAAGAAGGCCAAGACCTCTGACCACCTTAATTCAGGCTGACCTTTTCTTTCCAGTCCCATGATATGCTCAGTCCTGACCTGCACGTACTCTGTGTCTTTGACAGGGAGGTCATCTCAGGACTTCTTTAGTGACTGGTAAACGATTTCCAGTAAAGTGGCAGAAAAGTTTCACAATATGATTACTTAATTCTTTTCCAAAAGAAGTGATCAGCTACTCCTGCCTTTCTTGTCAAATCAGATATTTTAATGAAGGAGTCAGAAATTGCAATGGTGTACTCGTACCCTGGATCTAAAGGGGAAAAAAATCTCTGCTTGTAGCATTTGCTGATTTCCATGGTACAAATGCTCTCACCGTGGCTAATTTCAAGCTACCAACAGTTTAACAACCAGCTTGCAAAATGCCTAAATATTTAACAATCAGTGCTCACAAGCTGGTAAGAGCAAGCTCTAGCACACCACAGGAAATGGAGACGTTAATTAAAATATTCAGTAGATTGACTTCGCTGGATTTTCTTTTTAAAAATGCATATATGTTAGGCAAAGTAAGACTCACTGAGTACAAAGAGTCTGGCTATTGGGTAACGTACAAACAGCCGATTAAAATTTTTATTTAGTTATTATCTGTCTATCTATGCCACTGGTGTTTCAAAAGCCAGCAGGGTCACCCATGATGGACGACAGGTTTCAGAGAGAGATTCCAGACTACGACAAAAAGAAAGGCCTGGCAATCTACCTCCAAAAATTAGTCAATGAAAACCCTGTGGATCACAACAAAATATTGTCTGATATAGTGCTGGGCATCATCAGGAAAGACCAGTCGCTAGAGAAGGACATCATGTTTGGTAAAGTGGAGGGTCAGAGAAAACAAGGACAGCCCTCAATGAGATGGACTGACACAACAATGGATGTCTACAACAACGGGCTCAAACATATCAACAATCATGAAGATGGCAGAGGACCAGGTAACATCTCGTTCTGTTGTACATGCAGTTGACATGAGTGAGAACAAACTCGATGGCAACTAATAATGATAATATCTAGCTGGCTATCATCACCTCAAAGTATTCATACATGAAGAAACACAAAATGTGCAAGAAAAAGTTGCATATTTGAGGTAAAATTGAATTACATTAAATTTCCTCTTACTTATTTACATATATTTCTGCATCTTTTCAATTATTTTACATAAAATCTTTAAGAAATTTTACTCATATAATTACTCATATACAACAGATCCTACCCACCTATGTGTGTGCCTATGTCTATGTGTATATTCCTTATTTGCATAAGATAGATCCTACAGATTACCTGGTAATACCTTCATATTTTATAACTTCCTCTGTAACACTGAGCAAACTGTGGCCAAAGAAAAGAAGTGAAAGGAGACACTAGACCAACATGTAGCATAAATTCAATGACTTTTTACTATTAATCTACAAAATAGCTTTCCTTTTTTTTTTTTTTTTTTTTGCAGTTCAAATTCTTTAAAAAATGTTCTTCCACCACAGCATCCAGGTCACTGGAAATTATGATGAAATAAATGGGAGACAATAGAAGTAGAGTAAATAGCAATGTATCAACTGATTCAAGTTCTTTTCCTATAAACTCCTGGCTGTCAAATGTGTAAACAGTTTTTGTAAAGTACTGATATAGGTAACAGCAATATCACTTATAAGATGAAAGAGTTATAGAAAAGAGCAAACCTTACTTAGTTTCCAATTTTCCCTCTTATTCACTTCAGTCACAGTAACCAGATATGGAAGATCCAGTGGTATATTTCCTGCCCTAGTGGAAATTTGCAAAGATACTGGATACTGTGTAACCGGAAACTTAAAACGAGGAACCTAAAATACAAATTCCAAGAATGAATGTAAAACTGGAAAATTCAATACTAATTGCATTTCCTGGTAAAGAATGAATAATGTATTCCCAATAATTTGGCTATTTTAAATGAAATGTATTTCTTACAGTGGTTTCTGCCTTCTTAAGTCATGGGGAAAAAAAATTTTTCTCACAGCGGAATCAATGTGAACCACCAAGGTAACGTACAAACATTGTGGTAACAAAACTCCTCACTTTCTACTGGCATTTTCCACAGGAATTCTATTGGCTATGATGTTATTCAAACTCTTTTGTCTAAACCATGTCGCGCAAGGTCCCTTCCCATCTCCCTTACACCACTCTCCCTGCCAGTCACAATGTTTCAGCCACACTCTTTAAACTCAGCCTCTGGATTCAGAGTTCAAATCCAGATCCATTGCTTATTAGCAATACAGTCTTTGGTAAATCCCAGGCTTCTCTATGCCGCAAATTAAATGAGACAAATCATGAAGAAGCCTTAGAATAGAGCTTCCAAAACCAAACACTCGCTGCCATCGAGTCGATTCCGACTTACAGTGACCTCATAGTACAGAGTAGAACTGCCCCATAGGGTTTCCAAGGAGCGGCTGGTGGATTCAAACTGCCGACCTTTTGGTTAACAGCCATAGCTCTCCGTAGCTCTTTACCACTGTGCCACCAGGGCTCCAGAATAGAGCTTCCAAAAAAAAACCAAACCTGTAGCCACTGAGTTCATTCTGACTCATAGCGACCCTATGGGACAGAGTAGAACTGCCCCCACAGAGTTTCCAAGGAGCACCTGGTGGATTCAAACTGCCGACCTTTTGGTTAGCAGCCGTAGCACTTAACCACTATGCCACCAGGGTTTCCCGAATACAGCATAGTAGATAGTAAATGCTCATAATTTATTGAATGATGGCTCTAGGCCTGACATTGTATTAAATGATTTTTGGAGAATATATAAACATATATATGCGTGTGTGTGTGTGTGTGTGTGTGTGTGTGTAAAAACAGGGGGACAGCCTGTTTTTCCAGGTCTCACAAATTTTCCACTTTTGACAGGATGTATCACTTTTCTATCGTTCTCTGTTGGAAAATATTTGAGTTTTCCTTCTCTGACAGGTTTCCACCTTACACAGGTTCTGGCACTTGTAGGTTTCACCGTATATATATTCTTTCAAGGCCTTTGAAAATAAATCTGCTTGAAAGTTATACCAACTGCACACTCGACATTGCTAATACAAACACTGGTAGTAACTTGATACACCTTTGAACGCTTTGATACTGACAGAGTGAAATATTATTTGACACAGAACCCATTCTCTTAACCAATACATTATACTGTCTTTTATTTGTCACCACTACCAAACTGAGCTCCTTGATTACAAGGATTGTGACTTCTATATTCCCAGAACCCGATACAAATTACATACGTAATAATTTTTTGAGTTAATCCCTATTCACCATAATCCTATATAGTGTTTTAGAGGTTACAGATTGCTTTCACATAGAGAGATGTATGTATGCATGTCTACGTCGATATTAAAAATCCTGTGAAATGGGCAGGCCAGTGACAGTATTATCATTTTATTTTATAGATAAGGCTAATTGACTTGTCAAACCCATTGCCGTCGGGTTGATTCCAACTCATAGCAACCCTATAGGACAGAGCAGAACTGCCCCATAGGGTTTCCAAGGAGTGCCTGGTGGATTTGAACTGCCGACCTTTTGGTTAACAGCTGTAGCACTTAACCACTGTGCCACCAGGGCTCCATTGACTTGTCAGGGTACACTTAAATCCAGATCTATTTAGCTCTATGTCATAATATTTACTTCTATGACATAATGAGACATTACTTCTACGTGTTCGCTTTTCATGTTTAATCAAAAAGCACATTTCAAAATCTTCTTAACTTAATATGAAAGTACTTTGTCTTCAGGTAACTATAATTTAACTTACTTTTTCTCTGCAGTCTGAGAAAGCAACAGCATGTGAAAACTTCTGATCGTTTGTGCAGTTACACTCCTCCCGAGTAGACGCATTAGCACACTGTTTGAACTGACCAGTCTTCTGCAATAGAATTAACATAGGTATATACTCAAGAAGGAGCCCTGGTGGTACAGTGGTTAAAGCACTCAGCTGCTAACCATAAGGTCATCATTCGAACCCATCAGCTGCTCTGCGGGAGAAAGATGTGGCAGTCTGCTTCCATAAAGATTTACAGCCTTGGAAACCCTATAGGGTTGCTATTAGTTGAAATCAACTCAATAGCAGTGGGTTTGGTTTTGGGGTATATACTCAAGAGTAGTACCTACGTCTCAAAGCATGTCTCCATAAAATATTTATTAATTTCTAAGGGAAATACAGTAACTTTATAGTGGAGAAACCCAGCAGACACCACCTTATCCAAGTATCAAGATTACTGTCACCAGTTATAAGACTTATCATCATGTATCCCCTGCTACAATGCACTGAAAAGGGCATATCGCTTGTGTTGTGTTTGTGCCAATTGAGGTCAGTTACAAAACAACTGACCAGTAACCTTCAAAAGTGTCAAGGTTATGAAAGACAAAGAAAGACCGGGAAACCATCACAGGTTAGAGGAGACTAAGAAGAAAGTTGTAAAAGATTTCATTTCACTTGCATAAATAATCAACACTCAAATGGAAGGAGCAGTCAAGAAATCAAATGACACATTGCATTGGACAAATCTGCTGCAAAAGACCTCTTTAAAGTGTTAAAAAGCAAAGATATCACTTTGAGGACTAATGTGTGCCTGACTCAAGACGTGGCATTTTTAGTCGCCTCATATGCATGCAAAAGCTGAACAATGAGTAAGGAAGACTGAAGAAGAATTGATGCATTTGAATTGGCAGAGAATATTGAATGTACATACCATGGACTGCCAGAAAAATGAACAAATCTGTCTTGAAGTACAGCCAGAATGCTCATTAGAAGCAAGGATGGCGGGACTGTCTTACATACTCTGGACACGTCATCAGGAGGGACCAGTCCCTAGAGAAGGATGTCATGCTTGGTAAAGTAGAGCGTCAGCGAAAAAGAGGAAGACCCTTATGTGAGATGGATTGACACAGCGGCTGCAACAATGGGCTCAGAATGGCGCAGGACTGGGCAGTGTTTTGTTCTGTTGTACACAGGGTCTCTATGAGTCAGAACTGACTCGACGGCACCTGACAACAACATAACAAGAAGAAATAATATCCACATGCAATGTGGGAAGCTGTGTTGAATTCTGAACCAGAAAAAAAAGGACACTAATGGAAAACTAGTAAAATCTGAATAACGTCTAAACTTTAGTTAATAAAATTGTACCAGTATGAATTTCTTGGTTTTGACAATTGTACTATGGTTGTATAAGATGTTAACATTAGAGAGAGCTGGATGAAAGGTATACTTGGTAACTCTCTAATATTTTAGCAACTTTTCTGTAAGTCTAAAATTATTTCAAAATTAAAAAAAAAAAACAAATAAAAACTCTGCCTTATGTAGCTTACCTTCTTACAGGGGCAGAAAGACAATAAATAAAATAAATAAGTACACTACATAAAATTGTAATAAGTGCTAAGGACAAAAATCAGGCATGGAAGGGGATAGGGAGTAGGGGACAGTGGAGATGGGGTTATAATTCTAAACAGAGTGGTCAGGGAAGGTCTTTCTGTGATGGTGACATTTTAGCAAAAACCTGAAGAAGGTGACAGAGTAAGCCATGTGATATCTGGCCGAAGAGCATGTCAGACAGAGGGAACAGCAACTGCAAACGCCCTGAGGTGAGAATATGTCTGGCACATTTGTGGAACAGCAAGCAAGTCAGTATGGCTAGAGCAGATTGAGCCAAAGGAAATCAGGTCAGATGTCATTCGAATTCCAGACCAGATCATGGAGGACCTTACAAATCCTTGCAAGATTTTGGTTCTTACTCTGAATTAAATGGAAAGACAATGGTGAGTTTTGAAAAAAGAAATGACAATATTATTTGTGTGTGCGTGTGTGCACGCACGCGCGGGCCCACACATGCGAATGGATGTAAATGTCTGTTTATATATATATATAGGCAGGTAAGTGGTTTTTTGTTTTTTGTTTTTTTTCTGGAGAGAGACTCCACAGGCATCTATAAGGTTTCCTTGAGAAGCTACCACGTAATAGACTTTTCCTCTGAACCTAATGGTTTGTCTCTGCTTATTCTGCCGCCAGAGAGGCATGGTGCTGCTGGAGTTTGGTGGTTTTCTAGGCAGAATCTTAGCAGGATATTAAATGTGCCTGTGTTGAAGCAAACACTCTCCTTTCCTTTTGGACACCGTTCCTTTCACAAGGCTGGAGATATGAGATGGGTCTGGGGGTTCTTCTCACCCCACCAATCCCCTCTGAAATCCAAATGGCAACCAGAGAAAAGTAAATGGGAAAAAGTCCATTTAGACTTCTTGGTTCCAAAACTGTATCCAGGAGTGTCAGTAAGAGGAGCCGGGGCTAAGCAGGAGGAGGAAAAGCAGCACTGGCAGTAGGAACAATAATAATAGCTGACATATTGGGACAGATGGAACCTTATCCTGAATGACCTCATTTAATCCCCACAGCTCAGTCCCTATGTAACTTTACCGCATGATTTCCAGAATTCAAATAAATACTAGTTTATTTGTAGCAAAAATTATTTACCTTTGACATAAGAAATAGATTTCTTGGTATAGGTTTGCTAGGATCTGCATGGTAAAAATTATCTGTGAGTGGAATAGCAATTCCCATTTTAGACGGAGGCCTGTAGTTTATCTGCAAGTGATTAAACAAAGAAAATATATAATTCATTCTTATTTACTATTTTTAATTTAAATATCTTTTTGATTTTTCAGAAAAGAATTCAAAATAAATATTCCTCCTCCCTCCGCCATTTTCTGGAATTGCAGCATCCTCAACCTTTCATAACTTAGAACTTGTAAACAGGTAAAAAATACTTTTAGTACCTAAAATAGTTGTCATAAAGTCAATGAAATAAAGTTTAAAAACCTTATTGAAGAGACATAGTGACATATTTAGTAAATAATCCTCCTAGTATGGCTATTTGCTTTTTGTCAGAAAGAAAATTGTAAGTAATAAGTTATTTAAAAAAAAATTTGTATTTAAAAAAAGAGTTGCAGATTCTAACAAGGCAAAAGTTAAAATTATGACATTGAAATGGAATCAGTAAAATATATCAGCATAGGATAAGTCAAGGTAAGAGCAAAGAGCTGTATGTACTGTAAAAGCCCAAGATTATATCACCATTATACAGCAAATAATGACAATAAAAATGAGACTAAGTTACTAGGAAAAAATAATTATTTCAGAATTTTTTTACATTTTAGAAGAAAACAACGATCACATCTTCAAAATGACACAAGGATTGAAAAATCATTGTAAAGAGTTTTAAGCCTCTTGGAAGAGAAATGCTAGAATGGAACGATCAGCCAATTACACCAGAGTGATATATCATTGGTACTCTTCCAACAACCTGCTTAGATTTTTTACCGGCAAAGTTTTGATCATATTAAAACCCTGATCGTCTTTGTGAATTCCACTAATCCAGTCTTCTAATGGGATAACTTTACTAGGAACATGATGCATAGATTTGAAATAACTACAGCCGCTTTTCACTGTTGGCACGTATGTTGTAACAAAGCACTCAGTTGATGCTTCCCAGATAACAAATGCCAGTGAACTTGAACCCTGGAAATAGCCAAATAAGTGAAGGTTACTTAAAATGATCAACTAAAGAGAGGAAATTTCAAGAGAAAGAGAGTGGTAAGTTTGACCATAAAGATTGTTTGAGAATAAATAACAGAAAACATTCTTTTCCGGGAAGAACTACATTCTGATCTAATCAGTTGTGGGAAAATATTTGGAAATGAGCAAGGATCAAGAAGGACTTATTTCATACATACCATTGGAACTGAGATTGATGACCAGCACCTGGACATTTGCTCTGATGATGTTTTGGGTAGGAATTCATGCACAATAAATGTATTTGATCTTTGAACAATATCAAACCCTCAACGAAACTTGATTAATTCTGTTTGAAATTTTAAAGTGCTTTTGGAGTTTTAAAAAACGTGGAAATACTAATAACTGTAGTGGTGTAGTGGACTTTTAGTAGTGAGTTTTGCCCATCCCTATACTCTGTAGCCACTAAAAAATGACATTTTAGCACCTTCTATGATGTGTCCTTGCCAAAACACACTGAACCTGAATCTAAGCAGAGCTCTACTGTTAAAGGTAAATGGGGGTGATGTTACAAGTTAAATAAGACACAAAGAGGCAATTAGAGAAATCCAGAATGTTTGACATTCTACAGTAAAACTGACCTGATATCTGCAACAATTTGATGGCAAGGCAAGAAACACGGTGTGGGGAGTGCCTTTGATAAAAGAGATTTAAGAGATAAAACAACCACTATGTGAATCTTGTTTGGATCCCAATTCAAACAAACTAACTGTAAAAACATTTTTAAGAAAATTGGGGAAATTTTATCATGGATTGGGTTTTAAATATTGATTCCATCCTCTTCTTGCATGCGTAGTTCCTGAAGAGATGCTCAATGAACTTCTTATCCTTGTTCCTCAATAGGTAAGGCATTTCCCCTCCTCCGACTTCTTTCAAGGTTTTCTCTTTGTCTCTGACTTTCTGAAATTTGGATATGATATACCTAGGTGTAGATTTTTTGGTATTTATTCTGCTTGGTGTCCTCTGGAGCTTCCTCGATCTGTGGTTTGGTGTCTGTCATTAATTTTGGAAATTTCTCAGCCATTATTACTATTCTGTGCTGCTACACTGCTCTTTTTTTAATACCCAGAATGTTAACAGTGCTTAGTCCTTCTTGACACACACACACGAAGAAAACCCAAACCCGTTGCCGTTGAGTCGATTCCGACTCATAGCAACCCTATAGACAGAGTAGAACTGCCCCACAGAGTTTCTAAGGACAGGCTGGTGGATCCAAACTGCCAAACTTTTGGTTAGCAGCCAAACTCTTAACCGCTAGTCATCCTTGATAGTTAGGATTAAATGTAACTTTTCCTCTGTTTTTAGCTTGCATTACAAATTTTCTGTAATTAATAGTTTTTTTTGGGGAAAATCTGTTACAAATAAAGAAAGTCTTACCGGATGTAAAATTTTGCTAGATAAAGTAATGTTCAGTAGATAACTCCCAGTGTTATCAAAAAACCCTTCAGCTCTGACATCCAACAAAGTTGGATTTCCAACTAATACCTTCACCGGTGGTACGTCAAGTATTTGAAAACCTATGGAAACAAGGTCAACAGTTAATATGAAATATCGAAAATTTTTAAATCAATTTAGTAATGATGGGCTAATCAGGATTTTAGAATATCTATAGAATCGATTATGAAGGCACTGTAATGGCTGCAAATATAGTTAGCAATTTATATATAGACAGTCAAATTTAATAGTTCTTAGAACAATCTACCTTTACAATTATTTTCTATTTACTCACGGAAATATCATTCCCCTCCAGCCCTCACTCCTCAGCTGTGTAGATGGGTAATATTGGTCACACTGAGTTGGTTAACTCAGAAGAAAAACTGAAGAGTACATGCTCATTTTAAAGAGATGCCAGCTGATTGATGCCAAGAGAAAACTCGTAGGCAGTTCAAACAAGATAAGTCATTACACCAGTTTCTGCCTGCAGGTCACACACTTATAATCTCTCCATACTAAGAACTTTAATGGAAAAAGGTATTTGAAATACTGTTATTATTAGTCTAATGCCATCAGTAAACCAGAGCTGAGGAGTAAGTGACTTGCCTGAGGTATCACCTGCAGCTGTTTCCCTTACACCAAAGTGATCTGGCCAGGGCCTTCTAAATTTTAACTGGGCATTTGGTTAAAATGAAGATCCAGTTCAGCAGGTCTGGAGTGGGGCCTGAGATTCGGCACTTCTAACCCAGGTGATACTGATGCTGCTGGTCCAGGGACTATACTTTGAGTAGCTAGGAGTAGGCTTTTCTTCACAAAGAGGCACTTGAGATAATTTGATGTTACTGTTCGCTTCCATCAAACTGAATGAATAAAATTGATTGGATCCCAACTAATTTGGTATATTTTAAAGCTAAAATAATTACAACATCGTGGTATTGGTGACAAAATATAGAGAGATAACAATGTAACAGAATAAAAAAATCCAGAAATGGTCAAAATAAATAGGTAAATAGCATACTAAGATAAAGCTATACTTTGAAATCAGTGGAGAATTCATTAGTCAATAAATGATGTTGTAACAACTCTTACTAACTACCTACAATATGCCAAAACAAAATGTGAATAATTAAAGTTAAAACTGTAAAATTAAAACTCTAAAATTACCTGAAAGGAGTATGGAAAATTAGGCATATCATCAATGGGAAAAAACTTCTAAGGGTTTTAGAAGGCAGTGTTTTAGGATATTTAATCCACAACAACATGGAAATAGATGTCCTCCAACTTTTCCAAGCCCTGTAATTTTCATTTATATACATTGTATTTGGTTCTGTTTTTCAAATAAGCCCTCTCAAAAACAGTGTTTTGTCCTTTCGTTATGCTTCACATACCTTCTTTTACCTTTTTAAGAGTTTAATATGTGCTTATTTTATAGTCTTTCTGATTTTTCTGTTATCTCAACTTCTTGTTTTCCATGACTGTTGACTCTCCCTTACTTGGATCATTCCCATACATAGTGTTTAAATTCTCTTCCTCAATTCATGTTCAATGGAGATTGATTTTACCATGGAACTCCATGTTACCTGGGTTATGAAAGTGTTCTATGGAGGGTTTGTGTTTGTTTATGCTAGGGCCCAGGTGTTATAATTATATCTCAGTTTGGGATTCTGGCATCTGGTGGATAGTTTCTGGGTATAATAGTGTTGGAGTCTGGGTTTTTACAGGAGATTCTTTCCCCCCACTTTGAGCCCTCTGGAGATGATACTCCCCTTGGTTTCTTCTTTGGGCTGGTGGGCAGAGTTTTCCTAATCTTCTCTTCATGATTTGATGCTTCCCTCTTTATTTAATGATCTCAGTTCCAACTACCACAAAACAGGAAGGCCCAAGGCCACATATTCTGTCAATACGTGGGTATAAAACTCAGCCCACTGCCCATATGGCCTATATCTGAACCCCATATCCTTCAGGAAGCCACACGCTAGCTAATTTCTTTGGCTTTAAGTTCCCTTTTCACTGCAGTGACAGGATTTTCTTCACTTTCTCTCCTGCCTGCCCTCCCATCCTCCCTTCTTCCTGCCTCTCTTTCTAGCTCAGTTATTTACTAAATTTTTTTGTTTTATTTTTTTTCCAGTGTGCCACTTGTCCAGAATCTTTAAGAAATTTTGTATATAAGAAAAAAAAAAAAACCTGGAAAAATGATGGGAAGAATAGAATTCTATTTAATACATTTTTTTGGCTTAAAATAAATACTTGAAATAAATATAACAATGTCAAAGTAGTTAAAAGGTTTTCTTTTCAGAGTACAGCAAAATATAAACCAAAATCCTTTATTAACGTGGGCTGATAACTTCATTTATCTCCATTGCAAAATTAAGATTATAGTCTAGCTTTTTAGGGTCATTATAAGCATTAAGGGAGCCCTGGTGGTGCAGTGGTTAACAGCTCGGCTGTTAACCAAAAGGTCGGCAGTTTGAATACACCAGCCACTTCTTGGAAATCCTATGGGGTGGTTCTATTCTGTCCTATAGGGTCACTATGAGTCAGAATCAGCTCTATGGCCACGGGGTTTTTTTGAATAAGCATTAAATAAAATAATGTATAAAAAACCATACAGAGCTGTCCACATAGTATTTTTTCAATAATTAGAAGCTATTTCTGTTCTTAGTAGACTACTTTGGAAACCAAACATAAAGAAGCTATCAAAGGGTGTATTTCACATTCAGGAAAAGCAATTATCGATGTTTTCCAATAAAAACAAACTTACCTCTTGCATGAGGTATGATCTTAATATTTAAAGAATAATGTTTCCCAAGATCAACGTATCTCAGGATATTGAGGGATACTGAGTTATCAAGTTGTTGAAACAAATAATTGCATGGTTTTGAAAATATACTCCACATTCGTCCACTACTTAGCCCAAAGTTGTATAAGAACCAGGTGTTTTTCAGAAAGGTCATATTGATGGGCGCTCTTTTAGGCATGGTAGCAATAGCTAAAGCATTCCTATCATCTAAAATTGCTGTGATCAGGAAGCTGCTATAACCAGGAATCACCACAGTCTTCTGTAAATCCTGATGCCGAAATAAGGAATTAACACCTGGAGCTAAAACAGAAAATATTTGGTATAAAATAAAACAGCCAATGGTCAGCCAGTATACTTGAGTTTTTAAACTATGTTCTTAACCAGAGACCACATTTGCCAGACTTCAGACTTTAACCTGAAGTTGTCTTAATTCACGAATTTAAAATAATGTATTTTATAGAAGGCTTATTACTAATATCACAACCACTAACCTACACTTTAATGTTTACTATGAAACTAAAGAAAAAAGAACTGTTGCTGTCGAGTCGATTCCGACTTATAGCAACCCTACAGGACAGAGAAGAACTGCCTCGTAGAGTTTCCAAGGAAAGCCTGGTAGGTTCGAACTGCTGACATTTTGGTTAGTAGCCAAACTCTTAACCACTAGGCCACCAGGGTTCCAAGCAATTATAAGAAAGCTGATTTCTTTTACTACAGAACTGTTAAGAGCCTTTAATAGCCTGGGATATTTATTGTGATTCTACAAGAGAAGGATAATGTAGTCAGCGTTTCCCCAGTGCCTAAAGGAGTGCCTGTTACATAGAAGGTGCTTATTAAATACTTGTTAAATGGATAAATAATTGATTGTTCAAGGACAACCTGTAGATTTAGAAGGTAAGAGGTTCTAGAGTAGGAACTTAGATCATTTAAGGAATGTTGTTGTAGTTGGGTGCCATCGAGTTGATTCTGACCATAGCAACCCCATGTGACAGAGAACTACTCCCTAGGGTTTTCTAGGCTGTAATCTTTACAGAAGCAGATCATCAGGGCTTTCTCCCACGAAGCCACTGGGTGGGTTCAAACCGTCAATCTTTTGGTCAACAGCCGAGTGCTTAACCGTGCGCCACTAGGAGAAAAATCCACAAAGGACACAAGGAAGAAATGATCAGAGAAAAACCATCGGACTGAATATTAGTGAAGCCAAGGGAAGACAGAGTTTCAAGGAGAGGAAAGTCATCAGCGTCAAATATTTTTGATAGGTCATGAAACAAACTGACAGCAACAATGCTTTCCTCATTTTGAAAAAAAAAAGAAATATTCAGAAGAGAACACTATTGTTTCATTTATTATGTACACATGCTCTAATTACCCCCATTTTAAACAAACCAACCAAAAAAAAAAAAAAAAAAAAAAAAAATCCCTTCCAACATTCTCTCCAACTGCCACATAATTTCTTTCCTCCTCTTGATAGCGAAACTCCCTGAAAGAGTTGTCATTATTCACGGTCTTCAACTCCTCCTCTCTCACAATTTTTTGAACCTATCCCAGTCAAACTTTTAACTACACTACGCTACCCAAGAACTTTTGCCAAGGTGGTTACCAATAACTTTCGCAAAGATACATTGGCCAGTTTTCCTTCCTTATCTCACCTGGCTTATCAATAGCATGTAACACTGGAGCACTCCCTCCTTCTTGAAACTCCTTCTTCACCTGACTTCTGAGACACGCTCTCTTAGTTCTCCTTTGACTAGACCATCCCTTTCTTTTCCTGATTCTTCCCCACCTCCATGACCACTAAATGTTGGAATGTCAGGGATTTCTTTCTGTATCTGCATTCATTTTTCAAGTGGCCTTAGTGGTATAGGGGTTAAGAGCTCGTTTGCTAACCAAAAGGTTGGCAGTTTGAATCCGCCAGCTGCTCCTTGGAGACCCTATGGGGCGGTTCTACTCTGTCCTATAGAGTTGCTATGAGTTCGAATCGACTTGACGGCAACGGATTTCATTTTGTTTTATATAGTCTAATAGCATTAAATATCATACATATGCTGACAATTTCCGAATTTATATCTCCAGTCCAGACCTCATCCCTTACAAGTCCAGAACTCCAAACTTGTATTTCTAAAAGCCTACCTTATTTTACCACTTGGATAACCAACAGCCATCTTGAATTTAATATGATCTCTTGCCTGATTACTGCAATAGCCTCCTAACTGATTTCTCAGGTTCCACCCTTGCCTCCCCTCCACCACGTGCCCGGACTACTCACAACGCAACAGCCAAAGAGAGCTTGTTAAATCCTAAATCAGATGTTACCTTCTGTTCAAAATCCTATAAGGCTTCCCATTAACTCAGAGTAAAATCCAAATCCTTACAATAAAATATACTAACTCCTGTTATGTAGGTATCATATAATCCTTTGAAATACAAATATTGTATAAAAATGATTCAAAACTTGAAAACTTGAAAAACTCCAAGGACAGTTTAGACTTAAATATTGATGAAACGGCCACTGAGTTGTTGGAAGACTCTTGGAACGTGAGTGAAAAATTGCTAGAGG